GCAATGTATCTTGCAGTGCCTCTTCTCCTTGTGGGTTACGGTTTTGGGGCTTCTTTCGTTGCCCTATTTGCTCAGTTGGGTGGTGGTATCTTTACTAAAGCTGCTGATGTTGGAGCAGACCTTGTTGGAAAGGTTGAGCAGGGGATACCAGAAGATGATCCTAGAAATCCTGCTGTTATTGCAGATCTGGTGATTGCTCCTCTCTTCTTGCTTTCCTGATTTAAGAGACTGATTATTTAAGAGCTCCACTTATGTATTATATCCTAGTATTGCTATTTTTAGTATATTGATAGGAATGAAATCTCATTTGTTGCCTTCTTGATTAAAAAAGAATGTTTATCAGGCATCTGCAGACTTGTATTGGTGGCCTATCTGCTCATTTAAGCTTTTCTAATTGCAAGTTGCATCTTGATGGATTCTTGCTTATCATGTTCTTATAGATTCTTTTTATTCTTCTTTTTAGATGACTTATAATTTGGTACCATAGTTAGATACATAAAATTGACCAACTAGGGATCTAGCTTTCTTCCACCTGTGGGTGGAAACTGGTTAAGGACTTCAGGGTTAAACATGATGTGAAAACGGATATTAGAAAGATATGTGCATATGGACACTTTTTCTTATTTGGATAATAAAATATTATCAACTCAAACAAAAATTGTTACTACTGAACCGTCTTTGTTTGAAGTATCTTCCATCTACGTGGAAATCCTTTATACACTTTGTGAAACTTGCTTAAGAGATTTTTATAAATATTGGATCTCCCCATTGTTTTTATGTGCCGTTTTGAAATGGCCCTCCAATTTGCGTTGTGCTTTGTTACTAAGCTTTCCCAGATTAAATGCCCTGATACCAATTTGTAAGACATCTCCTTGCAATGAAAATTTCAAGACAAACACTCATGAGAGCCATAATATCGATCGTAGTTTTTGTAAAAAAAAAATAAAAAAAAAAAAAAAAAAAAAAAAAAAAAAAAAAAAAAAAGAAAGAAAGAAAGAGAGAGAGAGGTATTGAGAGAACTCTCTTTCCTCCCGTCTCTCCAAAAAAACTCCAGTTGCCGGGCACCTCCAACGGGCATCCTCTCACGCTAATTCTCCTCCCCTTATGCCTAAAATCTTCTCCAAATCTTTCATGAGGAACTGCCAAGCTCTTTGCATTTTTATAGGGAATTTGGATGGAGAGGAATAATAAAATATTCTCCTAACATCTATATGGGTGTGGTCACCAGGCCTTTCCATAATTGTAGTTTTGTCTTGTTTTTTGGTTTAAAGTCCTTTTCTTTTGTTATGGTCAAATTTTCATTTTTGTTGAGCCTTGTTTTGTGTGCCCTTGTCTATTCTTTCATTTCTCTCAATGAAGCACGGTTAAAAGAGAAAATGTCTCTTTGTATCTAAATATCTTTGGTTGTCTTTTAATTTTTTAATTTAAATATGTTGCTTAAAGTTTTTGTACCTTTACCTTCTTTTATTTGGAGTTTTCTATCTTGTCATGCTTTTTTTATTCATTTTAATATTGCCTTCTGATTTGTTGACTAAAGTGTTTTTGGTTAATCTCCAGGTTGGGGACAATGTGGGTGATTGTGCCGCCCGAGGTGCAGATCTTTTCGAAAGCATTGCTGCTGAAATCATTAGTGCCATGATACTTGGGGGAACAATGGCTCAACGCTGTAAAATTGAAGGTCTTTTAATATATAACTGTTTTTAAGGAATTTTCTAGGCAGTGCTTATGATGATCAGCCTCCTTAGAATGATTGAAGACCCAGTGTGACTGTATTCTTGATGCATTCTTGATGTTCATGCAGATCCATCTGGTTTCATTTTATTTCCGCTGGTAGTACACTCCTTTGATCTGGTGATTTCATCAATTGGCATTCTCTCTATCCGGAGGGGTACTCGTGAATCTGGTGTGAAGAGTCCGGTAGAGGATCCAATGACTATTCTGCAGAGAGGATATTCTGTCACTATTGTTTTGGCTGTTATAACATTTGGCGTGGTAATTTACATATTATGCTATTATCTTTAGGATCACTCTGAAGTCATGCAATTGCATTCATGTTCTAAAATTGTTTTTAGAATCTATGCCTTGATTTTAAGCATCAACCATGTAGTACTTATTTCTCGGCAAGTTATTTGTGTTCTAATTCTGCCAGCAATTTTGAACAATTTTCAGTCTACCCGGTGGTTGCTTCATACTGAACAAGCACCTTCTGCATGGTTCAACTTTGCCTTGTGTGGCTTGGTTGGTATTATAACGGCTTACATTTTTGTCTGGATCACCAAATACTACACTGACTACAAGCATGAGCCTGTGCGTTCATTAGCTCTTTCTAGCTCCACAGGCCATGGGACAAACATAATTGCTGGAGTCAGCTTGGGCCTGGAATCAACAGCACTTCCCGTTCTTGTTATTAGTGTTTCTATTGTTTCAGCTTTCTGGTTGGGTCGCACATCAGGACTTGTGGATGAAGATGGAAACCCAACAGGTGGGCTATTTGGTACTGCTGTAGCAACAATGGGAATGCTCAGCACTGCTGCCTATGTTCTCACAATGGATATGTTTGGGCCAATAGCTGATAATGCTGGTGGAATTGTTGAAATGAGTCAGCAGGTAATGTAGGGCTGAAAGACAATAAATGTGTAAACTGCAAGTTAAATAGTTCAAATGTTTCTTTCTGTTGGTATTGTTTTAATTCACGTCTGTTGCAGCCAGAAAGCGTTCGGGAGATTACTGATCTTCTTGATGCAGTAGGTAATACAACTAAAGCTACCACAAAAGGTTTTGCCATTGGCTCTGCAGCCCTTGCATCCTTCCTACTTTTTAGTGCTTATATGGATGAGGTAGCTACATTCGCTCATGAACCTTTTAAACAGGTGAGGCATCCAGGCGAGGGTACTTGGTCTTTCTCTACTGGTTCCTTAATGTTAATGTGCTCTCTTTAAATGGATTCAGGTAGATATTGCAATTCCAGAAGTTTTCGTTGGTGGTTTGTTGGGTTCCATGCTTATTTATCTCTTTAGTGCTTGGGCCTGCTCTGCTGTTGGCCGAACAGCCCAAGAGGTTGTAAAGGAAGTTAGAAAACAGTTCCTTGAGAGGCCTGGTATAATGGTAAGTGAAAGGCTTTAATAATTGTATTTTCTTCATAGTATCAGTTTAGCATCTAAATCTGATATGTTATCTTCAGGACTATACGGAGAAACCAGAATATGGACGCTGCGTTGCTATTGTAGCATCAGCATCTCTAAGGGAGATGATTAAACCTGGTGCTTTGGCTATCATTTCTCCCATGGCAGTTGGTGGGTATTTTATTCATATTTTATGCGAAACCTCGATTTGTGTTCGCTTGATGCATTTTGCCATGGGGAAAAAATGGAATCAGTTGAACTTGAATAATGTTTTGGAGTTAATGTAGTATCTAACTTCTAAAATTTTTACTTGATTGGGAAGGGGAACTACGATATAACTTCTTATCTTTTGTATTTATCTGAATCCTATAAAATGACCAACAATTGAAGCCGTGGTTTGTGTTGTGCTCTTGAAAATATCCTTATGGCTTTGCTGTTCTCAACTCTGAATTCAAAGTTTGGATGGTGCAATGTGATCCATAATTTTGAGGATTCTTTCACAATCTGTATGACTATTGTTTGCTTCAGTTTGTAAGGGGATTTCATTGTCCACAACGAGGCACTGAATGTTCTGATTAGGATGAATGTTGAAAACCCTTTTGTTGAGCTTCATTGATGCTGTCTATAGAACTTTGTTACCTTACCTGCATTTTGTATTGAACATAACTTGGACATTCAAGGGGTACCATTTGGCACTCTCTGCATCTCTTCCTCTACTTGTCTTGGTTATGTCTTGGAATATGGTTCAAGAAGTTGTTCTCATATCAATTGCAGGCTTCCTCTTTAGAATATTGGGACACTACACCGGGCAACCGCTTCTAGGGGCCAAGGTCGTTGCTGCGATGCTGATGTTCGCAACAGTTTCCGGTATTCTCATGGCCCTTTTTCTTAACACAGCAGGGGGTGCCTGGGACAACGCCAAGAAGTATATAGAGACTGGGGTTCTTGGAGGCAAAGGTAGCGATAGTCATAAAGCAGCCGTAACCGGGGACACGTAAGTTCTATCTATGTTTATGGAGTTATAATATATATGATGTTGAGTTAATGAAGATGGTAAACTTGGTTTCTTTTATTCTCAGCGTTGGTGACCCATTCAAGGACACAGCAGGGCCTTCCCTTCACGTTCTGATAAAAATGCTCGCAACCATAACGCTGGTGATGGCCCCGATCTTTCTCTAGAGATTGATTGTGCTTCTGTTTTGTTGGATTGGACCTCTTCTTCTACAATACATATCCTCAAAATACCCTTTTGGGCGCTTCCCTTCGTCGCTTCTTGTCTTGTAGTCAACTTCATTTTTGTTTCCATTCTACTATCCAAATAAAACTTAATTAGTTTTCTTTAATATTTGTGTTGTCCTGCTATTTTCTTTTTAGTATTTTCACGTTACTGGTTTTTCAAATAAGAGTGACACATGGACATCCCCGTAAATCTACTCTTTTCGACTGTTGGCCAATATTCACTTTTGAATCGACTCGACCCTTCATAATTTGTTAAATACATTTTTATGTTAGTCGAATTGGACCCATGTCAAGGGATCCTAGTTCAGCAGATCCTTGAAAGGCCAACGAAATCGAAATCTAGGACGTATATGATATTTTAAGTGTTAAAACCAAAAAAAGCTCTGTCTTGCCTCTCTATCTATCTAAGGGATTGAAGGGTAGAGGTCTTTGGTGTTCCCTTCCGTCAAGAATTGGGGCCTCACCATCACTAGCCAATATGCCTTTCTCTCATGTCTTTCTTTGTTTATGGTTCGATATAGGCATAGAGGAACCACACCAATCCATCCCGAACTTAGTGGTTGTTGAAATAACGAGTTTTTGCCAATTTAAGCATAGTTATATTGCTTATATTGGAGTGATATACAAACTAAAGAAGTGAGCTACGAATCAGGATAACATGATTTCATTATCAGGAGAAAATTGGTGGTGGTTTGGTTGGACAGAGTTGAGGATATCTTGAAAGACAGAGACATGGCATGGGATCTGAAGAACACCCTGTTGGTGAAACCCAAATTCCTCCTCAGCTTCCCGCAGCAATATCCTAAATGCTTGGTGGGTCAGGTAATGTGTTGGGATTACAAATCTCTTATGCTCTTCCCCCACGCACACTGCCAGATACCCTTTTGGAACATCCTCGGTAACAAAACCTCCGGTTGTCTTCAACAACTTATCATTGCCGCCGCCGCCGCCGCCGCCGCCGCTCTTCTCCCCATTTGCTAACCTCTTCCACCTCTTCAGGATTTGTTGAAGCCTCACAATGTCTCTGATTTTGTTCGACTTCTTTCCACAATCCATCGGCTCCTCATTGTTTCCTGCCATTATTTCCTCCACCCCAATTTATAGTTTCCAATGAATCATTATAATTTGGCTGCTAGATCTTGCTTTCATGATTTCCCATGTGAGAAATTAAAATATTTCAATCTCTGATCAATCACCAATCCAAATCAAATCATGTTCTACTCAGATCTCATATGTGTGTGTATATATATATATATATATAAAAGGAAACCAAGACGCTACTAACAAGGAAATTGAACGTGGATCACCAAAAAAAACAAGCACATCATGGAATCCACATTAAATTCTATGGTCAAAACAAGGTGCCTAATTGAACCCATATTTGCATACCCATGTTTCATGCTATGAGCCACTAACTAATGTCGTATACAGGGAGTAACCAACCATGCCACGTGTCACAGTCATACTTGTTTAAGGCGTGTTGTCCATAGCCGCATCTCCATATGCTAAAATCTTTGCCTTGTACCATTTTATCGCTTTCCTTTACTGTTTTTCTGTTGGATAATTTCCTTTGTACTTTAGTAGAAGTATGACGTTTCGGCAAAATCATGTCTATGTCTGTTAGACATGAAATGCGTGCTAAAGAGGAGTTGTCAAATTCTCCCTATCCAAAAAGTTATAACTACTTGAGCTGTTGTTGCATTTTGCTTGTATACTACATAACACCATTTTCAATCTCTCTCTCAACCTTGCTTTCTAACTCCCTTTCAAAATCTCTATATCTCTTTTTTTTAAAACCTTCTTCTCAAATCAGGGTTAGAGGCTTGAGTATACATTGTCCGGCGGTAGGCGACACAATACGAAGGCTTTAACTCACTTAGTGCTGAGAGTGAGTGTCGCACAATCGCCAAATCCACGGCAAAAAAAAAGTCAATTGTGACACCACGCTTCTTGTAAGTGGATGGATCCATCGGCCTTCCAACACTTTGATTTCATAATGAAATTTACATTCATAATATCTAGAAACTATGATTTTTCTTGAGGTACGTTCAATATCTACAAGAAATGTTAGTGATTTTTAGCACCAAGGGTAATTCAGTGGTGCATCTAAACAAGGGTAATTCAGGGTAGCCACTGGTCAAGACGCCAGCTAAATTTTGAAGGCTACATGTGACAACTTGTAGTTATAGGAGTATCATATGGATTCTGACAGATTTCCACAACTGTTGGCGCAATTGGAACCATGAATCTCCTCCACAATGTAAGCTACCTGCTATGACAACCATATCCACCAAGATAGGAATCAGTTCAGGACAGTAACAAAAATACAAGAATAACAGGAAAACATTAGATAGAGGTTACAGGTTCAAAACATTAGAGCTTCACAATCAATAGAGAGACAGGTCATTGATTCTGGCTAGCAGTGCTGCTGTGATGCATCCATCCTCTAACATCCACATTTTAAGGGTGAGCACAGTATTTTACAATCCCCCGTCCACGTTAAGCACAAGCATCCTAAAGTCTACAAATTATAGTCAAAACCATACAGGGTAACACGAAAATGCAATCGATAGGTGATCTGCTAAAGTATTAGGTACTTGTACTTTTCCTGCTACATTCCTGTCCTGGAAACTCTTTTCGGCACATGTCCGTCAAGAGTATTAGATTATGGAGCCTAATGTTTACTTATAGGCTTAGAGTAAATGACAATATTATAGTAAATGGCTATGTATAGGAGATGATTATATACTAGAAATTAAACCAAAATTTTCCTAGATAGTGCTTTAAAGTGGTACTTTTCATATTCTCTTTGTTCTCTATAAATGTACATACCTTAAGCCAGCAATGTAAACCTATAATCGATATTTCTCTTTACATTTTCTCTCGTGTTCTTCATCTAGATCGAGTCTATGAGGTGTGTGATCCTAACAGTTGCTATCAGAGCTAGGAGATATTCACCGTTGGTTTGTGAAGATGGAAAGCTCAAACATTGAAATGGAGAAGTGAGATGGATTTAATTGTAGTTTTTAGAAGATACAGATTGAAAATTATTTGTACCAAGCAAATCTTTATGAACCCTTGTCTAGGGTGAAACTAGATTCCACGACACTGAAAGCGAAACCAAATTCCACAACACTAAAAGCTCAAGGATCAACCGACTCTAGAGTTAATCTGGTTGGCGTTGTCTAGAAACGTAATATTTAACATCGTCAAAGAGAAGATAACATCAATCTATTGAAAGAAGGCACTTTCAGATATGTACAAAAAATAAAAAAATAAAAAAAACCAAAGAAAAAACAGAATCACAAATCTATAAAATAAATCCATCAAAAATGATAATGATCCTAACTCAAACTCAAACTTCCTAAGGAATTTAAAATCTTTTCTAGCATTTAAGCAATATATAGATATTTATCTTAGAAGTGAATTTATTTATTTATTTTTTTTTTTTTAGAGAAATGGTCCATGAATCTTACTACCTAAAAACTCTTAACCTATTGGAACGTGTTTCTTACTAAAAAGATGGATTAAATTCATCAAATTTTATCATTCCTCCTATAAGATTGACAAATTTCTATCGAACAATTTCTACTTTTTTATAAGAAATGAAATATATTTAAAAAACAAGACACCACTCGAACCTACGCGGTGGGTCAGCAGTTCATTTTGGGTAAAGATCAAAATATTGACAAAATTCTATAGGTGCAATACTATCATCTCCAACCAGCAGCTCTCCATAATTAAACCTGAAATGTATAAACATCAGCCTTTTCTTCCCTTTGGTGGTTTCATGTTACCACGAACATTTGGAAGTGAATGAGGCTTTTTATCTGAGATAACTTTCATAGACTTTTCAGATTTCTTTGAAGGAATCAGTGATGAAAAAAGGATAGCATCAACAGCTTCACGCTGTTTTTTCCTTTTCACTATCAATTCTTTTCCACTGTCAGATCGACTTAGTGCATTACTGTCATTATGTTCCTCATTGGAGCTTCCTTCAACCATGGGAGCTGAAGCTTCCATATTACTATCAATGGTATCATGCCGAGGTGCCCCTTTCAATCTTTTTGAGGTCTGTGATATCTGCTGATGATTATCAACGATAACTCGTTCGGAATGATCTAAATTACTCGACTTTTCACGGTCGACTTTCCTCTTACCCCGACTAATATTGATATCTTTCCCTTCCCTTTCGAAGGTTTCTTTCCCACTTCGTTTTGCATGGCGCCTTGCGTTAACATTGTCAGTCTTCAGATTTCTTGAACCATTAGCCATAGCCTCTGGATAAGAATTTCTAGGAGTAGCAGTTTTGAATGTTGAATCGTATGGCATTTTTACTGATAGAACCAAATTTCTCTCTTTGGCATCCTTCAAAAGAGCTCCCCAGTCAGGGTTTACTTGCAAAGTCCTTGAATTTCCTAATACCCAAAGAGAGAGCTTCGCTCGTGTTAGAGCAACATTCATACGTCTAGCATCAGCAACAAACCCGATACCACTCGAGTTTTTCCCAGAAGTAGAATTTGGCTCTGCTGCCCTTACAGTGGACAGTATCAGTATATCAACTTCACGACCTTGGAAACCATCCACGGTATTAAATTCCATGTCAACTATCAAAGAAGTCCCCAATGAATGTGCGAAACGGGACCGTAGAAGTGAAAGCTGACACTTATAGGGAGTTATGATGCCAATTTTTACTCTGCTGAACTCAGTTGGATGGCTGTGATGCATCAAAAATCAAAATTTAAAACGGTAAGCAATAGGCTCTCTCCAAGTATACATAAACAAATTTGAAATGAGATAAAGAATCATCTACTACCTCTCTTTGAAAAACTTCACTAGCTCAACTGCAGCATCAGCCTCATGTTCGTTATAGAGTGAAAATGCACCACCACTTTTACTTCGAAGCTCCTTACCGTCCAAAATGTCGTAGAAAATATATGGTCCCAAACCTTTTGTCTCGTGAAATGGTGCCATTTTTTCAGACATCCTATCTCCATTAAGCAATTTTCCATCATAAAAATGCTGAGAAGGAAAATGACAGATCGCTGGATGCATCCTATACTGAGAATGGTATGGACATTGTCAGATAAATCCCTCCAAACCATCTATTTTGAAGCCAGAAAATTGAAGAAACAAAAAACGACGCATCCTATTTATGTAAGTATGCCATCAGTAGTCCAAAAGAAAGCCCAAGCAAAATATAATCGAAGGGTTTTCTTCTCCTTAGTGGGGTCATCCTTTTACAGAGGCAAAAAAATCCTGTGTAAATCCTTTTATCCTTTTATAGATTATAGTCCAAATACACTGGTTGGAGTTTTTTTTTTTTTTTTTTTTTTTTCTTTTTCCTCTCCTTCTGTCCTTTTCATTCATCAATGAAACTAAAGCATTTTCCTCATGAAAAAATGATATGGAGGTCATCTTTTTTCTTTATTCAATGAAAGACGTACTATTATTTTAGTGCAATTTAACTTACCTGTCTTGTCAGCATGACAACTGGATGCCCAGCCCTTTGTAATCGCTCGAACATACTGCATTCATACAAGAACTTACTTGCAACGTTAGAAAGAACAGTTGCAGGCAGCTGCTTCGGATCTCCAACCTTCGATGATAAATTGATGACTCAGTATAGATGCTCAACAATGAATGGGAAAGTTGCAAAGGCAATAAGTTAAATACTCCTTACCATTATGCATCTGACCGCACTTGATTTTAAAAGCTGAAGAGGTATTAACGTAGCAGGTTCCAAAGCCTAAAGCAAGAAGGAATGTTTAAAAAAGAAGAGGAAAAAAGACCAGGCTTAACCAGTCCGCTTAAAACTAAATTCTAGATTGTACTAAAAATGAAAAGAAAAAAGAAACTAACTTCTAGACAAACAAACTTACTTGAGCAGCTTCATCAATCACAACAGCATCAAATAGAGTATTTTCTGATGGACTTCCAAACTTGCAACTTAATATCGGTTCAGCACACACTGCATAAAGGTCTCCACCACAGCCACTTAAAGTGCTTACCACTATTTCAGCTTCCCTTAGTATTGACTTTCGTAATTTGTGCTTTAGTGCTTTGA